AACAAGATTATCTGTCCCTCATGGCCCTATTCTAGCTGTTACTTGGCGCACTGATGTTTAAGAAGTTCAGGCATTAAAGTTGAGGTGTATTTTTTCAAACAGGTTTTGCAAATACTCTCTTATAACGTACTGTCAAATTAGTGAAATTTCACGTGCAGAATCATTTTATTGTAAATAGTGTAGCGATGTATGAAGCACAGCTCACACAGAAGTCCCTTTCAAACCAAGCAGCTTCATGTTTGTCAATGCAACAAATCCATTTGAGCAACTTTAACCTGTTGCACAATTGATTCCTACTGAAATTACTGTATTTCATCAGTGAAAATACACAAATGTTTTAAATTTTCTATGCAATCAAACATATGGAAGATCGTTTTTGCCATGGGATAGAAAAATAAAAAATGTCATTGTGACTTTTTAACACACAATTTGGACTTTTTTCTCACAAATGTGAGTTTATATCTTGCAATTTAGACTTTTTTCACAATTGTAAGGATAATATATCCTTCCATATATATAAAGGAAACTTTTATTAGGCTACTAACAAGACTAGAGTGTCTTTATGTCATCTCTTTTCAAAAGTACGATTAATTTTTTATCTACAAAACTTTTTAAATGAAGAACAAATTGCTTTTGTGTGGCTTTAAATCCTTTTCTAAATGAATATTGCCCCCTATTACATTGTGACTAACTACATTTAGTATGATTGACGACAATTATCTCACTAACTAGATCTGTTATCCGTGTACATGAGACAATATGCTAAGCACATTGGCCCAGACAAGAAAAAGAGCAGGCCGGAATGAAATGACGAAGAGTGACGAGAGCAGAAGACTCGTGGAAAGCAGGAAATCGCCAGGGAAACAGAGGTGACAGGGACTGTGAGAGAGGGAAAGGCTGTTTCTGCCTTGTTGCTCCAGAGATTCATTGCTCTCCTCATCAATCATGGAGGGCTGATGAAATTGTTCCTGCCCAGAGAGAGCCTCATGGCTCTCATGTGCAGAGTTGGCATAAATCCTGCTGGCAGGGAATAGAAGTGGATTATATTGTGCAAATTAATTGTTGCTTGAATTTGCCACTTTTTCTTCTTGCCCGTGGAGGGCTTGGAACATGAGTGGTGTATTGTCTTGTTCTCAAAGCTGCTTTTTTTTGTGTGCTGTCACATCTCCTAGATTCTTACCTTCTCAAAGGGATCATGTCAAGAATTTCAATTTGAAAAGGAAAAGGTTGAGGATTAGCCTCGGAGAGCCATTTCCAGATGTAAGTGTTCCAAACAGCAGGTCAAAAGGGACAAATCTTCATTATTTCAACCAGAAGCCCATTCTGGATTGCCAGCAGCACGTACAAATCCACACCTTCACTGAAGAACAAACAAAGAGCACTGCCTTTGCTACCTGAAGATCACTCATTAATGTGTTCAGTTTATTTTTAGACCACTTCCCCTTTGTTTGATCGGGCCAGAGCTGTAGACAAGCTTGGGAACGTCTCTCTCATTAGTGTTTAACACGGGACTCCTGCCGTCAAGGTCAACGGTACCCCTGTGCCTCGGCCACTGTTGGGAAGGCCTTGCCAAAATGAATGAGAGGACCACCGGTCACAGAGAACAACTACTACTACTTCTTTATTTTCCTGCTCTGGTTCAGACAATTGTCCCTTGCCTGACCAAAAGGTGATTTTTTTTGCACTTATTTGCTTGCAGTTAGTAGTAGTTGTAGCTAGATGTGACATTTATTTTATTTTTAATTGGATTAATTTAATCAATTTTGATGTTTATTGCTAGGCATTTCCAAAATAATAAATTAATTAATTAATTAATAAAAATCACAAAACAGTCAGCCAGGCTTGAACATTTGTAACATGAATTTGCGAGGCTTCATTCGCTTCCAATTATTTTTAGCTTTACAGCTAGTAAAAGTTTTTTTTTTTAGCTTTTTACATCTTGTAATGCTGCTTGATATTTCAAACTGGTATTTCCTGTCATATCATTTTAATGTATTGTCGTAATTATAAACACTTGTTTGTAGCACAGTTTTACCGTTTACTGCACTTTTTTTCTTCTAGTTATTTACCTAACTTTACGGAAGTCTCGCACATTCACAGAAAATTACTTCCGTGTTGCAGTATAAGGTGGGTAAAATGACTATAAAATAAAACAGCTCATATATTATTTAGTTTGACCTTCTGAGTCTGACAATCAACGTTTTATAAAGGTTAAGCACCTAAATGACAATTTGCCACAAAAAAAAAAAAATTCCTCCAACGACTGCATATGCTAACTGTACGTTTTCCTTTGAAGGCAGATCGATACTTCAATGGTAAATCAGCGATTGAGAGAAAGAAAAGGGGAAAATATCCCTTGCATTTATTCACCATTTCAGCGTGTTGAGAAATTATAATGCGCTGAATGCTACTAAACCTCATGAGCAGTGCGCTTCTGCCCTCTAGAGGATCTTGCACAGAAACTCATTTTGCAGTAGCAGCTACTGGCAGGATGATCATGTTGTCATTGTCAACTCTTTAATTACATTTCTAAATTCAGTATGCGACTCAGCAGTTGATCTTAGTGAAAAAAAAAACGCTTACATGGCCTAAAGTTATTGTCAACGTGTCGTCTTGGACTGCCTATTTGAACTTAAATACATAGTGAAGATGCTTGGGGGTTAAAGGAAACCACAGAGTATGATGAACATGGTCAATTCTGGTCCAATGTCTGCAGACAGTGGCGATGCGTGCCAGCCGCACATCAGACCACAGCTGTTGAACACACATGTCCGAATAGTGAACGAATCTTTCTTTTGAGTCGGATGTTTTCAGTGAATCAGTTCACAAAAGTGATGCTGAGATTTGACTGATAGAACAAAAAGTACATTAATTGAATAGCCTAGAAGTATTTTTTTTAAATAAAACGTAGGACTGCTACAAATACTTGTATAAAAGTTTTATCAACGCAATAAAACTGATTTTTTTTTTCAGAAATATAGGCCTAAAAGTAGGCTAAATGCATTATATTTTGATTATATTTTGTTTCTAACTGACTTTGTGTTTATGAGCTAAACAGCGACACATTGCAATAATCGTTAAATCTTGACGGGAAACGTAATTAACAGCAATATGCGCTGCACGTGATGGCGCAATAACGTCATGACGGAAAAAGAATCACTCTAATGTTTTTGAACCGAGCTGTTCAAAAGATCCGATTCTCTGAAATGACTCGGACTCACTACAACACACTTGTTGCATGTGTGATAAAGTTACAGCAAACTCCTCCCATGGACCGCCCACAGCGGGCGCTTCACAGCGGAGCATCTTGCTTTCTCTCACCCGACGAATACTTAGTAGATAAACAGGGCTTGAGGGTTGAAGCTTTATTTTTAAAGGTAGCCTATGGGTTGTTACGGTAGCGTTCGTCGAAGTTGCATTGAGCGTTTAAATGTGTGAGAACGGTCGCGGAAATTACAATGTGGCTAAACTAACTCTCAGTTAGGACTGAGACGAACAAGCTGGTAAGTGAAACATTTACTCAGTAGTCGCTAGACTTGTAGATCCTGAAGGTCAATGAAGATACTCCAGAGAATCTGTAGAGAAGATAAATTAAACGTGTAGAACTTAATGACATTTGAACTACTAATTTTAACTTTCTATAATGTAGTAATGTTAGTTACTGTTCTTAATGAATGTTATTAGGTAGTGTTACAGAGAAAAGCTCATTTTTTATAACATTTTCGAGTTGTAGAACCTAGTTGAAGATGATATAGTAGATAACTTAACTGGAACGTTTCATTCTGTGCCTCAAAAATTGTGAGCTACCTAGACAACATTTTTAGGCATTGGTTTATAGGTACCTTTGGGGAAAGCATTTTTGCGTTTTACTTAATGCAAAAATACTGGGTAGTTCACACAAAATTAAAACCATTTACTCACCCTTATGCTGTTCTGTGGAACACGAAATAAGATAATTTGAAAAATGTCTATTCAGTGAAAGTCAGTGAGGTCCAGTTTGGTTGTGGATGCCAAATACCTTCAATGGGGTCCAATTTGGTTATGGATGTCAAATACCTAAAGTGTATGTGCAAAAATTTATTCTTCAAAATATCTCTTTTATGTTCCACAGAAAAAAAAAAAGTCATACAGGTCTGGAATGACATGTGGGTGATTAATATGGCCATTTTCACTTTTGGGTAAATTATTCCTTTAAATTAATTGGAAAGAACTGACTGTACTGAAGCACAAAAATACCATAATATGTTTGCAGATATTTAGGAAACATGCTGAGTTCACAGTATTCTTCAAAATATCTCTTTTATGTTCCACAGAAAAAAAAAAGTCATACAGGTCTGGAATGACATGTGGGTGATTAATATGGCCATTTTCACTTTTGAGTAAATTATTCCTTTAAATTAATTGGAAAGAACTGACTGTACTGAAGCACAAAAATACCATAATATGTTTGCAGATATTTAGGAAACATGCTGAGTTCACATACTTGTTTCTAAGAAAAACAGAAAAAGCTAGTTCTTCTACTTTGAAATGTGCATTCCGTGTCAGAATGTTTTGTTTTGGTCTGTGTGATTCTGCCCACTGCCAGTTTACCCAAAAGTATTTCGACCCACCAGGTTGCAAGTTCACAGAAAATACAGTATATTGCAACCATGGAAGCCAGCAAACAGACAGGGTCAGACATAGAAGATTCTAGCCTCAGCATCCATATAAAAAGCTCTATGACCAGAGGCATATTAAAACAACTTACATCAACTTACAGTGTAAGGCTCATCGCCTTCCATTGTCAGTTCTGTTCATTCTTTTTGTTTGTCTTCAATCTGGCAACCTGTGTCTGCCACTCGATTCTAGACTTAACTGTTCTCATAGAATTACAATGAATATTTAAACTTTACATTTATCATAACTGGCGTAAACGGGTGTTTGAAAACAAGACTTTAAAGGCCTGTTAACATCAAGAACAATAACTATATTAGCATACACATGCTTTAAATGCACCAGCTCTTTAAAACTGGTTCATTTATAGTTATAGTTCTTGTTCTCGGTGTAAACGGCTTTTCAAAAAGTTGACGTCGACTTTGAGAGTCCACTTAATGTACTTAAGCCAGGTCAGCAGTTGAACGTGAATGATAAATGAGGCTGTTTACTGTTCTCCGGTCATGCTTTGAGATGCTGCAGCCTTAATTGCATTACCTAACTGGCCTGAGTACTTGCTCATGTCTGTTATTAGAAGTTCACCAGTCAACCATCTCACCAGACAACCCAAGTCCTAATTCACCAAAGCACTTGGTGAATAAATTAATATACCAGAACTGAAAGAATGAGATTATACTTAAGGAGCCAGGCAGAAACGTGATGTCTTAGTTAGTGTTATTTATGACCAGAGGTGCCCCATAAGCTCAATTCATGCGAATTATGCATAGAGTGAATCAGCTGCAGTGGGAGTCTGACTTGTTTTTGGCCTCGTAATTAGCAGATGGTGAGTATGGGTGCATAAAATTTTCATTCATGAATGTGAGACTGCGAATGAGCTCATTTTCTTGCAGCAAATGGAAGAGATTCGGTGCGCCATCTGATGTTACCATCTTCTTGCTGGGTGGGTAAAATACCAATTTAGCCCATCACAGGCTTTACAATGCAGCCTATAATTGGAGACATTGTTTGCCCTCTCATGGCAACATAGTTGTCGTTCCTGCAGTGTTTTTGTCAGTGTGGGAACAGGCCGAACCTATTATTAGGCAGATGGGATAAATATGTAAGTTTACAGTTGGTATCAGATGTGTGTGGGATCAAGTTGTGATGGCGTCAAGGGTGCAGCTTGTGAGCGAGACAGCTTGAGTCAGAATTCTGGGAAGCATTCGTGCATAGGAAACCAAGATGAGCGCTGTTTGAACGTGTCAGCATCTGATACAGGCATCTGGTTAACTGCATCTTAACTGCCATTTTTGCGATTATCAGATACCTCGGTGCGCGAGCGTAGTGCAGCCATTGGTTCACCAGGAAGTCTCATGTCAGGCTGCACATCAAAGGAAGTGTACTTGTTTGTGTCGTAGACGTTCTGTGTGACTTTCATTATGACACAGGCATCGATATAAATGAGTCACCGCAGCTGAACCATGTAAACAACTGGCTTTGCGGTTGTTTTGTGTATTCTTTGCGTCACTCTTTCGGTGTACCTTGTGGGAATTTGTGCCTGTAACGTGACTTGATCTCTCACATTTGTTCTAGCACGTGCCTGTCCTCATCTCAACTAAACCATGGGGTCATTACGAAAGCCCAGGCCCCGTTTCATGAGCTCGCCTGTGCTGTCTGACCTCGCCCGCTTTCATGCCAGCTCGCCAACACTGCAGCTGTCCAACGCTAGTGTTTGGAACAGGTGGGTGGTTCCCTTTCCCAAGGATGAGAGAGAGAAAAGGCATTGTTTCATTAATTGCCATGAGATTTGAGGGGTTTTTATAGACACAACCGAGAGTTTTTAAAGATAAAGTTCATTCAAAAATGACAAAGCTGTTGTTATTTAATCGTTAACTTCAAAAACTTTTTAAAATATACTTTCCATAGTCAATTTTATTTTTACATTTATCATGAATTATTAATTTATTAATATTATTACATTTTTGGAGGAGTCGCACCACATGACATTTTACATCCTGAAGCTGATCTTAGCTAAGCTGCTCTTAAAAACACGTGGCAAGTTCATGTGAGATGGAAAGCTTTTAAATTATTTAAAAAAAAATTAACATATTGTTATAAAAACATGCATGACACGTTATTACGTTATTATAAGAAATGTAATCTGTTTTTACAATATGTTGGTTTCATATGGGTTTGAAAAACTTTTATACCATTTTCAAGAAAAGTAAGAAAAGTTTGTATCTACTGACTGTCAGGTAGCCATTAAGTAAAAAGTAATAACATATTTTCATTATACCTTGAATACATTTACATCTTAAACATTATTTTTAAAAAGTTTTTAATATATTCTAATCTTCAAGGTAAAAAAGTTATTAGACAAATATCAAGTATTATTAATTCATAAGTGTTATTACATTTTTTTTGGTAGTTGCATCACATGACATTTTACAGCCTGAACTAACTTTATCTTGTCATAAACAGGTCGAATATTTTTAAGAGACTTCTGTTGATAAAAGCTGATAAAATATTATTAATGTAGCTATTTTGTTAAAGTTTATTTCTAAGAAATAATAATAACAAATTATGCCAAACTACTTTTCTTTTTAATTGTTTCAATTGTTTCTTTTCAATTCTTTAATGAGAACTTTATTTTTTTCTCTTATTTATTCATTGATATCAGGACACTAACTGACATTTCTGACTGTATGTCCCCCTAAAAAAATATCAAAATTAAGCAATTTTCATTTTAAATTTTAATTTTATTTCAGCAGTTAAAAACATTCTCACGCATAGAGGTGACTGTAGAAGTCATTGTAGAAAAAAAATGAAATGTAATAAATCAAAAAATATATCCAAATAATGACAATTTAATTTAAATTTTTTGATAAACATTGATAAAACAAATTAAAAACATCTTTAGCTTTGAAATTTGCTTTTAGGAAGCCCTGAACTTTAAACTTGAGTCAAAAAGGGCGGTGTTTACGGTCACTGTACCTCTGACTCAAAAGTGAAACCTTGCTTTTTCATATATGATTTCACACTTTGCATGCCATATTTAGTCTTTAGGGGAAAACCCCTTAGAGACACATTCTTTAAGGCGTTGGAGTATAGGAAGCAGACAGCAGCCTTTGCCTTTATCACTTCCTTATGGAAATGGGACCTCTGCTGCCCCTCTCTCAGGAAGTGTAGAGCAGGATGTTAGTCAGAAGTGGTCGGTTGGACGGCGGGCAGTGAAAGTTTGCTGGCAAGCAGACAAAAACGCTGACTATAGACACTAAAACAGAGAATTTCCCTGACACAGGTGACATTGCTGGATTTTGAAATGTTTTTACAAAGTCTTTGTGCATATAAAGGGATGTTTTGCATAGAATTTTCTTAGCTTGCAAATCAGTGGTCAGGCCACTTGAATGAGGCCTAGTTTCCTGATTTCTGAGTCTTTTCTGTTTTGCAGTGTACAAACGGCTGTAATTAAAGTCTTCCAAGGTGGGGGGCTACAGGCCAATGAGCTCTACACCCTGAACGAAAGCATAAGGTAAGAAAGTAATACAGAGAATTGCAGCCATGTATTCGGTTCACTTCCTATACAATGATTTCAAGTCAAGATTAGAGATTTTTGACTCATGCCAGTAGGCAATGACCCAGAATAAACTAACAACCACATAGCAACACATAGCAAGCAAATGGCAACCACTCACAACACTCTAGCTTTGTGGTGGTGATTTTTGTACAGGCAGGCAACAGGATTTTTACTCTTTTTAATTGAGAAAAAGTAAAACGTTTTTGTTTATGAGAGTGTGTGTAACTAACTGAGCATTTTACCTGTTTTATCAGGTGGCTTTTGAGGACTGAGCTGGGATCATTTATCACTGAATACTTTCAGGTAATATAGTTTTCAGTTATGAAGACATAATGAAGTGAATTTCAACAAAAATTTTGAATTTGATGTGAAATTATTCTAAAGAGAAATTAAACATTTTGGTACATATTCCAGGTTCAACCCAGCTAACAAAAATACATTTTAAGACCACTTTGCTAACTTTTTAAATGTTTTAAAAAAAATGTTCTTGGTTAAGCATTTTGCAAACATTATGGAATTGTTAGTGTTGAATGTTTTCTGAACATTCTGAAATGAGTAGTAACATATAGGGTAAACGTACCTATTAAGCTCACTAAAATCTACATTGAGACATTTTTAGTGCACAAGATATCGGTTTCAGTACTAGAAGTTATGTTAAAATAAAATATTAATCTCTCACACAAAAAATTTTTATTTTATTTTAAATGACAAAAGAATTTCAATTAAGATATACATCATTAAATGCAAAAAGTCCGGCTGTGCTTAATGGGTACATTTTTGTATCCTTTAAGCACACCCCTGTTCCCATTAAGCTCACATCATGTTTTATTAAAAATTCTTGTTTATTTTAAACAACCTTTTTAAAGAATACTTTAAAAATGTTTTATTTGAAGGTACAGAATCAATCACAAAAAAACTGAACACTAAAATCAAGCAACAAGGCATTCAATTTGATCAGTTACATATTCATAGTGAAGTGTCATTTAAAGTGCCCATGAAATCAAAATTAAAGTTTTTTGGGTGTTAGTATCATTATGTTAGTCTTAAGTTTATCTATAAGGCAGTGTGCTCCAAAACGGTGACAAAATTCGCATTTAGAAGATAAAAGCATTCAAAGCTTGCAGTTCGTCACTTCCGCCAAAACGGCACAACGATTTTATTTGACGTCACATATTTTATAGCAATATGGATGAGATTGTGGCTGGCATACCCTGTTAAATGCGGCTTTACGGAGCTCAACGGCTCTAGCCCAAGCTGTGATATAAGCGAACGCTATTGGCTATTTTAAAAAGGGGGCTTGATATGTCCCGCCCTGTCTTCCTGTTTCAGTTAAAATGACGTCAACACATAGAGTAACGCTGCGTGTTTCTAAGCATTTCAGGGGACCTTTAAGCAACATCTAGACTAGTCCACGTTCAGCTACTGTAAGTAGTACATATTCAAAAATAAAATAAAACAAACCAATAAAACATTTCATTCATGGGGATGAACACAGAAACTAGCCACATGGTCAGAGCCAGTCTGCAGATTTGAGTCGACTGATTCCATAGAAAACCCCATAGTGTATGATGGTCACAGACTCCGATTTTTTAGCTTCAGACTTTGATTCCATCCAGTCGGAGGAGATCAAACATGTTTGATATTTTCAGCAGATTTTAGAACGCATATTGTTTTCATTTGTCATGTGTCTCCTAGCAATAATGCACACATTTATGTGTGAGTTTGTTGTGATCGGAAGGAATTTAAAGTCTGCAAGTGTGAGATCCTCAGTCATTTAGTGTATGATGCCCTTTGTGTATGTGCCCTTTTTGTTTTCTTTTGTGACTATTTACAAAATCTGTAAGTGTATGATGTCTGGTGTTTTAAAAATCTGTTCACATTTTAAAAGTTGTTTAGTGTATTCCAGCCTTTAGTCGCTTCTTTCCTGGACGGATCCAACAGATTTCTGATGGCTCCGTCTTTGTATGGACGACATGCCTCTTTCATCTTTGGGCATAAACTATAGTTATGATTAGATTTTGTCATCGTAAAGCTGTGAAAATAAGTTATTAACCATTTTATAAAGATTAACTTAAAGTGACAACCATCAGTTAATTATTTAAAGTCTGTTTATGAAGTATTTACATAGATGGTCAATGTGGAAGAGCTTAAAGAGAGCACACTAAGCTTAATTGGAGCAGCAACCATTTTTAATAAATTTCATGTAATATTTATTAAAATGACAAGGTTTTGCTAAATAAATAATCTAGGTCATGTATTAAGTTCATACATATTTTAATATGAACAACTATTATTAACAATATGTATGAAATTGTACTTTTTCTTATTAATGTCACACTGAAGCTGTGTGATTTTCATAGTAGTGCACCCTTTAAGCTCACCTTACAATAATATGAAATCTTTAAAAATTACAGCAGCGTAAAACCACAGACCAGCAATAAATTGTAAATTTATAATATTATGGATGTAAAAGTACAAGCCAGTAATGCCTGTAAAGTAATATATTAGCGTAGCACACAATCTTATACAGCTAGTCAGCTAACTGTGTTCTGTAGCATCTGCGCTATGCTGCTAAAACTATCTAACTGTAATTATATCCCACTTCAAGTTCCAGGTTATAATATGCAAAAGTCTAAACATTAATCTCTTAATTTTACAGCAAGTAGTGAAACTTACCCAAAATAAAGGCTTAAACGTCTAAAAATGCACATTTAAAGGGCTCCTCTTTTGGTGAAAGTTTTTAGACAGCTTTCAAAATGGCCGCCAAACAGTGTGAACACATGGAGACACATATTTCAGTGTGCAATGATCTGATTGACTTGAAATTACAGGAGGTATGTAGTAACAAACACATCAATTGGTTAAGACATTAAATAGGATAATAAATTATCATTTTTTTTAAATAATCTGAGTTCAAATATGGAAGTGTGCTTAATGGGTACGTGAGCTTAATACGTACGTTTGCCCTAAAAAATTTAAAATGAACATCCAACTAAAACACTTTCCCCCAAAAAAAAAAAAAGCATTCCATGAATAATGTATAAATAATGTTTTTGTGCAAATTTTTTGAGAATGTTATTAAAGACCAGAGAACTGTGAATGATATTCAGAACGTTTGTTCGTAACTTTGAGCGAACATTACCAGAACATTGACTGTTAACTAGAAAGCTTAACTGACAGCATTTTTGGAATTATGTTAATGTTGAGTTGTACTCTTTTATTTCATTCAAAAAAAAAAAATCAAGGTTACGATGAGGCATTTACCATGGAAGTGAATGAGGCCCATTTTTAAAGCGTTAAAAAGCAGAAATGTGAAGCTTAAAATTGTATAAAAGCTCTAATGTTAATACTTAATGTTAAAATATCTATTAATTGAGCTGTGAAGGTATTTAAATCATTATTTTTTACAGTCGTTTCAGGGTTTTATGGTATTATGTTGTTATGAAAAAATTCTAGTAAGCATTTTTTTTACACTAAAATCATGTTAACTCTCATATTGTTTATATATTGTGGCTGAACTATTGAAACAATAAATATTTCAGCATTTGCAAATTGACCCCATTCACTTCCATTGCCTCACTGTAAGATTTTTTTTTGTGTGTGTGTGCTAATCAACATTACGCCACAGATGCTGTCAAATGAGCTTAACTTGTAATAAATCTGGGATATTCTCTAAAGTACCTGCATGACTCATTTTATCCAGGATCAGCTCTTGAATAAGGGTCTGACGTATATTTTGGAGAAGATTCAGCTTCATAACGGTGAGTGCTGAACCCATTTTATAGGTCTTATTGGTGCATTTGATGGCCTGCTTGAGCTTTAATAAGGTTTTATACAGATGTGTGTAATTCAATCGCTCCTTGCATTCTTGTCTCATTTCTCATACCCAGATGAGACTCGTCTCCAAGCGGTGTCTGAGATGTGGGTGAGGTTTTTCACAGACATCCTGCCAACTCTTCAAGCTATTTTCTACCCCGTGCAGGTATTAAAATGATCTCACCTAGCATTCAAAGTAGTGGGTTGGCGTCGAGTTACCGACACTATGGTGACTGGTGTTTTTTGGCTGGGTTTAGGGTCAGGAGTTGACTGTGAGGCAGATGGCTCTGCTAGGCTTCAGGAACATGGTTCTGTTGAAACTTCCTGTGGAGAACATGTTTCAGGGCTCCTCATATCCTTCTCCAATCACACAGATGCTGCTGATCCTGCAGGTGAGCTCTTACGAGGTCATTTGTGCACTAATAATGTCGATTTTATGATGCATCATGAACATTTCCACCACATCTGTAATTTTGAGATGGAAATTACATTTTGAACATTTTTGGAAATGTTTTGGTCCTGATAGCTTTAGAACTAGCATTTTGTTTGTCTTAGATGCTCAAAAGTAATTTGGCAACTTGAACAGAAAGGATGCACAAAAAGTCAGTAAACAAAACAAGTCTCTCATATTTTATCTCACACCCTTCACTGACATTGTTGTCTTTTCTCCTTGGTAACCAAGTACAGTAACATTTGAAAAAACGTTTAGGTGAAAAAATATCTGAGACGCAGTCAGTTTGTGTAAAAAAAAATAAATAAATGTTTGTTAAATGTGTGTTAAAAAGCAGAAATATTAAGCTTAACATTTTATAAAAGCACTAATTTTAATACTTTTTTTTTTAAATGCATTATTTTAATATAGTAACATATGAAAAAAATGTTCAGGGGAAAAAATGGTTGTTGTAGAAATGACGCCACAAAAAATTATATAAATAATTTGAAAAAATTGACAAATTCAGACAAAAAGTGCACACATTCAGCAGGCAAATACTTATTCAATATTTATAGTATGAAAAATATTTATATAAATATTGTTTGTGTTTATTATATCTCTGTTGAGATCTTAATAATTCTAAAAATGTAATAACATTTTTAGGGTAAATCCTGAAAATTGTATATACGAAAAGTTATATATAAATAGATATATAGGCCTCTAATTTAACCTTCATATTGTTATTAGTAATTAAAAGTAAAACTAAATAATAAAAAAAAAATATA